TCTATATTTGTACAAATAGAAGTCTTTTTTTTTCCAAATGCCAAACAATTTGCATTTTAAAAGCAATTATGATGGATTATAATGACATCTTTAAAAATACATGTTTTCATTTGTATTCTGAAACCTGTAAATTCCTCACTTCCTTTGTCTATTGCTCAGTTTATATCTCTCATCTGTCATGGCCTTAGTTCTTCATCTGTTCTGTGTCACGGAAGTGCTTCCTGGAAGAGAACAATGTTTCAAGGTATAAATTTCAATCATGTTATCTATTCTAGGGACATGGTGGGTATTTGCACAAGATTCTTATCTCTGACTGCAAAGTAACACTCTTTAAGAGTGTTAAAAGAGCCCAGGCTGTGGGGGCTCATGCCTTTAATCCCAGTACTTGGGAGGCAGAGCCAGATGGATCTCTGTGAGTTCAAGGCCAGCCTGGGCTACTGAGTGAGTTCCAGGAAAGGCGCAAAGCTACACAGAGAAACCCTGTCTCAAAAAAAAGCAAGCAAGCAAGCAAGCAAACAAACAAACAAAGAGTGTTGAAAGAACAGAGTTTAAGATAGAGAGGCTGGGAAGAACTTCCTGATTTAGACCTTACAGGTCAAGCAGCCAGACCCCAGACTCTTATTATACCAGGGGAGATGAGCTGGAAGGTACAAATATCCTGACTTAGGAACTGGATTTGGGATCTTAGGATGTTTCCATTGAAACTCTGGAAAGCCAGAAACAAGATCAGAATTTCCAGGGAAGGCATCCTCCGTTCCTGCCTTCCTACTCCTTCTTCAAGTGCCGAGAAAGAGACAGCATCTTTCCTTCTCCTGCTTAATAATAAAGTATTAACAGCAGTCATCTATGTGTACATTTCAAATTTTATTTTTTCTAGAGGGCATATTCCAACATGTACTTTGTGAGATTGTTGCATCAAAGCACGAGGAAGACATCAAAACATAATGTATATGTAGTTTCCGAAAAATTCATCTTTGATATTACATAAGAATCACAATGATATAATGATATAATTTGTCTTCCTACCCCCCCCCCCTTTTTTTTCCCCTGAGACAGGGTTTCTCTGAAGCTTTGGAGACTGTCCTGGACTAGCTCTGTAGACCACGCTGGCCTCGAACTCACAGAGATCCACCTGCCTCTGCCTCCTGGGTGGTGGGATTTAAGGCGGGTGCCACCACTGCCCGGCCCCTCCTACCCTACTTACATACTGAAAATAAAGCCAAAACTTAAACATGTAGAATTAATCCCTAGGGTAAAACAAGATAAGAAGGAGAATTTTATCCAAATTCCTTTAAAGGGAATTGAAGCTAAAACAGTTAACACAAACCATTCAGGAGAAAAAAAATGATCATATTTTATAATTCATCTTCTAGCCACGCTGCCTTATAAAATGTTTCTTTTGCTAATTGCACTTAGTGGTTATAAAATTAAATGGGCTGGCTGCAATGGCTAGTCACCTGGTTTCCTGAATTGTCAGGTAGCCAGAAATAATGTGTTTTCAAGTTGAGGAATCGTGGAAGTGCATTTCAATCAAGACTACATTTGTACAGAATTTTGCATCTTGCATGCAATTTAGCCCCCTTTGCGACTGATATCTGTGTAATGTATTTGATAGTGTCTAAGAGGATATCAACATCTTTCATGTGGAAAAGGAAGAACTAGCAGGCGGAGGACACATGTAACATGACTTACCAGCTAAGAGCTGACCCAACTCATTAGCGAGTCAGAATTTATCCTTGTTATGGTTATTCCTTGACAATACCTTAACACGTGGAAGAAGGATATGTGCTTTCCTCTTTATCCATTCCTTCAATGTTTATTATCAACTTAGTGCCAACCAGTGTGCTGGTTCTGAGAAGCTAATGAACTCATAAAACACAATCTCTGTTCATTACAAGAGTGAACTTTAGCTGGGTGGTGGTGGCACACGCCTTTAATCCTAGTACTCCAGAGGCAGAGGCAGGTGGATCTCATGAGTTTGAGACCAGCCTGGGCTACAGAGTGAGTTCCAAGACAGCTAGGGCTACACGGAGAAACCCTCTTTCGAAAAACCAAACCCACCAACCAAACAAATAAACAAGAAAATCAAAAAGTCCAAACAAACAAAAAACATGAGTGAATTTGAGTTGGGAGCTCGGTTTTATTTTAAAAACATCAGCACATGAATAGAATATCACAGCTGTCTTGTACAGGAAAAGTGGGACGGTTCTTGGGAAGGATCAGCTTCCACAGCCTGAACAGAAAGGACGAGAAGGAAATGGCAATGTGAGAAAGGACAGAGAAAGGGAGGTCTGGCTCTGTTGTCATAAATTCTCCAAACTGAACATTGTATTTTCAAGCAAGATAACTGTGAACTCTTCTACTCTCCCGGTGGCAGCTTTTCTTACACAGCTCAAGCATGGAGCTGTTTAACAAATTGTATACAGTGTAGCTATGGCCAAGGGCGCAAGTAAATCCACTCTTTAACCGCTATCAAAATATCATGGAGGGCAATCTTGGACAAAGTGAATTGCTAGAGTTTATATACGGTTACTTTCTCATGAATGAATTTCATTGTGAGCGTGATTTGATTGCCAAGAACACAGAATTCTGAGGCATGAAACAGAAACACCCAATTTAGTTTGCAAACACATTCATGACTTCTTCAGACCAATTGAATTCATCATGGTCTGCCTGAGAAAGGAACATGCGATGTTAAAATGATGGCCTAATTCTCACACTTCAGAATGTTGCCCCCTGAAGTTTGTGCTTCATTAGTCCCCTCCTAATTATCCCACTCTTGGGGAAGACAGTGGCAGCTAGTAAACTGACTCAAGGTCTAACCACTAGAGGGAGAAGGTGTGCCTCTGGCGACTAGGGAACCAATGACAGCCACTCATTAACAGGGTAAGTTTGGAGGGATCTAAATTAAGCAGTAGTCAGCTAGGGGCAAGAACTGTATCAACTATGGTAGTTTGCTAACTTGAGGATGGAGCCTTCCGATTTCACAATGGCTCTTCTTCTGCAGATGAACTCTGTTGCCCTTAACTATGAAGACATTGCCTTTCAGTACTGAATGTTTTCATCTTTTTGAAGGACCACTTTGTGCAGATACATAGAACATTTAAACCTACTTTTCAGAAGAGATGTTTAAAGGATGTCTTTCATATATATATATATATATATATATATATATATATATATATATAAAACTTTATTTATAGTATGTCACCCTTTATATAGTGTAGTCACACATTCCAGGTTTCTGAATTTGCTGCCTATTGAATTGATTAGAATCACTCCTAGAGTCTCTTTAGTTTGGCCTTTCCAAATCTTACTTTAGGAGAATAAACAAAAACAAAACAAAAAACAAAAAAACATTTCATTCAGATAGTTGACAAATAGGTTACAAATTTAATTTTAACAATGTCACAGATATTGCAACTTAAAAAAAAAAAATCAGATAAATTTGAAAACCTAAGCACAAGAACAAGTGATTTCTCCCCAAAGAAATGGTGTATCTTTTCTTAATACCATCATTTGCCATAACGAAAAAAAAGAAAAGAAAAAGAAAAAAATAAACTGAGCCTACAAGTACAATTGCTTAATAACTCTAATGCAAAGAACAAGGTTTAAAAAAAGTAAAAATAAACACATTAGACGCTATTAGGGTATCAGTTGTGTACCACTGTGAATGAATCCTTTGCTCACACCGAAATCCAAACACAGGGCAGAGTGGTGCTTCAGATGAAAGTTGATTTTATTTTCTGTGTGTCATACCGCCTGCCTCAGCGGAAAGGGGGGGGGGGGCGGAGAAAACTCTCAGCAACTATTTCTGGGATTCTTTAAAGGAGTGGGAGGCACAGCGCCTGCTCCTCTTTCAGCATTGATTTTCTACACAATTTGCGATACGGTTTCTCAGAAATGCTGTTTGGCAGTCCTGATCATTTCGTGTGTTTTCAAACTTAACCCACCCAGGCTACACAGTTCAGTATTTTCAGCTCCTTTCATTTTCTTTTCCCTTTAATTATAGAAGTCTCTATTCCCTTTTCTGTGGTCCAAGAAAGATAGTGAATGCTGCTATTTGTAGACCGAACATGCATTTGTTTTTCTCAGGACGATTCCAATACTTTCCCATCCACCTTCCTTCCCACCCCCCCCTCTCCCCGACCCCCTCTCCCACCAACAACGTCGTGATTGACATCAGGCTAGGCAACACTCCCAGGCTACACAACTTTTTGGACCCTCACGGTTCCTTTGACTCGGGGGTGGTGGATGTGGCACCCGCCGGGACGGGGTTGGATATAAACGGCAAGTAAACACTCTAATTTTAAACTTGCACTGGAAAGCACTTTCACAATGGGGACAGTCGCTCTCCGTGTCTCCCAGCGCACTCGCCAGGGCCCCTCCGCCGGGGCTCAGAGGTCCCGGGTCTTCCCGGGGGGCCCGGGAGCCGGGGACCGGGGTGGTGGTGGTGGTGGTGGGTGGGGAAGCCAGCGTCGGGGAGGTGGCGGGCCGAAGCGAAAACTTCCCAGCGGCCGGCCGACATGAGCTCGGGGAAGCCGCGATCGTTACCTCCCGCGCGG